AGCTTACTCGCACCATAGGTACCATTGCAAGTCTTCTGGTCCAGCTTCCACTTCTTCTGCTTCTGTAGGTTTACCAGTTGCCGAATCACCGAATTGAGATTCCTGATGCGGGGATTCCCGGGTTCGACCTGGCGAAAGTTATCTCGTTCGTCCGCTAGAACAGTCGCTTGAGCTGGGAAATTTCGGCTTGTTTCCTTATTACATCCAGCGTGGATGAAGCCAACTGCAGCCGCAGTGGTAACGACGGTTGGTGTGGGAAGGGCCGGGAAGGTGTCCTCTGCAATTTCTGTAAAGCGACTCGGGTTTTACCTGACCAAGGGCTGTTGTTTCGGAGATCTAAGGGTAAAGTCCCGCCCGCTGTCTTGCTTTAAAGAGGGTTATTACTAATCTTAACGAAAACTGAAAATATTCTAAAAATGTGTGCTTGTTAACAATCAATTACAGTTTTCAAATAATAAAACGGAGAAATTGAATTTTTTTGTATATTTATTGAAGTTGTTTTTTTTTTATTATTTTATTTAATTATAAATAACTTAAAGTTTAATACTTCTATATTATAATTTTTTTACTTTAATAATAATATTTTCTTCTGTTTTTGTGGGTTTTAATATTATTTCAATTGTTTATTCAGTATTATTTGCGATAACATTTAAAAAGAAGTCCATTTAATTCTTGTTTTTGTGTTTTATTTGTTACAACTGTGTATTACACTTTGTTATTGGCTTTCCCAGTTAGTATAATTAATTACTTATTTTCTTTGTTTATTCATTGTTTGCGTATGTTTGTTTTTGTGTTTACCTGTCTATGTTCATCTTTTAATTTTTGTATTCGTTCAGTACAGACTCGCGCTTTACCATCAATTAATGTCAATATGTATTAACTTTCTTCTTTGTTTATCCTACCACTATGTTAATTCTTTTGTTAGTAAATTTTACAACTCGACCTCGACAGCTGTTTATGCTTCATTATAATGTTGCTTTTCGCTTTCATATTTTTAATATTTTTTTTTTTCACTTTTATTACATTTTATGTTTCGTTTATGCATATTTTTTCTTTTAAAAAATTTTGTATATGTATAATATTTATGTTTTTTTTTTTATTTGCGAAAAAATCTTTAATTTAATTCACAGTTTTATCATACATTTCTTATTAAGCAGTAAAAATAAAAAAAGTACATACACGCAAATACGAAACTAAAGCGAACGAAAATTATGAAAATATAAACTATGCAAATCAGATGTATATCAGATGGCGCAGAAAATAAAACTACGTATTGTATGTATTTAATTTGAAAATGAAACTAGGCAAAGTTGATTCGCAACACACACACAGCAGTGTAGCAATAAGCGGCGGAAAGCGCTTGGCAAACGAAATCGACGATTCACTGCCGCCTCCAATAGCTGATTAGAAGCTGACTTTTTTTTACAAAATTATAAAAACTAACAGACACGCACAAATATTCCCTATAACTGAAAGCAGTTTTAATGTTTCTAACTATTTTTTTTTTTTTAATAAAGTCGTTGAAGTACTATTTGGGTAGTGTAGTTTTTCTTGAAATCTTGTGTGCAGTTTGAAAAGTAGAACATCATTAAACTGAATCAAAATAATTTCTTAGTACATACATACATATGCATATAATTAAAAATTACATTACATCAATTTATTTGAATGTGCCTGATTATATTTAAATTTCCTTGTAAAAAAACTTTCGATACAAAAATATGCCTTTTTCAACACCGCTACGAGTTGAAATGTAAAGTTTTCAACATTTTTCACAATCTGGGTCATCATTAATTAAAATAAATTTTAAAACAATCTAAACATACATAAAATAAAAGCACATACATATACGATTTCTTACAAAACTGGTTGGCTTTTTGTTAACAATTTTGATTGGTAAAAGTTTCAATTAGTTAAACCGACTCGTTGTAGACGAATTAAATATAGAATAACACGAAAATTGGTAGTAAAGCGTTTTATGTTTATGGCAGGCATATGTCTACCAGCGACGTTGCGCCCTTTCACCCGCCGCAATGGCGTCGTATATATATGCCCTATGCCCAACTAAATTTCAGCGCGAGATCTGCGCTTGAACCTTAGTTTGTTTGCAAGGCTTTGGACTCACGTTATCTTTGACTTGCGTTTTGTTCTGTCGACTTAATTGCGCCTGCGCGCGTGTGTTACTTTCATTGAGCTGTGTACACATACGCCTATTTGTTCCAAACCTTCATCAATACTTTTTTAATTGCATTTTTTTTTTTTTAATTTGCTTTTAACTTCTTATGTTATCTAACGGTAGTTTAAATCTTAAATCTAATTAGTTGCTTGCTTTTCACTTTATACAAAGTAGTGTGTGTATGTGTGTGTTTTTGTTTTCGTGATTGTAGGTGAGTATGGGTGTGTTGTGTGGGTGTTTGTTTGAATGGGCCATGTCATACGTGCCAATTACTGTAAACACAATCCTCACTTTCGCTTTCACAATCCGAACTTATTAAATTTACTTATTATTTTCTATTGGTGTTGTGTGTATTTTGTGTCCTTGTTGCTCTTGCTTTCCAACGTTTTTCGGCACCATTAACAACCATTTTACAATGCTGACTGTTAGACAGAACAAACGTTCGCTCCATCTCTGCCAGCTTGTCGCCACTTTCGGTTTTGTCTGCCTTTTAAGTTCGAAGCCAACACGCTAGCGCGCTCCTTCTATGCTGTTTCAACACTTAAATTTCACCATTGGTATTGGCTTGGAAGACAGACACTTGTCACAGCACCATTCTGCGTACACTTCATCCTTCAGCATTTGGAAAGCCGCCTCCGTAAGACCCACACATGTCCTGCCAATAAAATTTGATTCATTATTATTAGGTATTTAACTTTTTAGTTTTGTAATCACTCACCTATGAAAGAAGAAATTACAACCGGATTCACAAAATACCGCCTCATCGTTGTCGTTCACTTCTTTGTGGCACATACCGCACGGGTAGATCGGTGGCGCATTTGGATTCTGTGGATTAAATACCATCGGTTGACCAGGAGGATACATTTTGCCAGTGCCCATTGACATCGGTTTTGGGCCACCCATGCCGCCCATTGAACCGCCGGGACCACCCATTGGACCCATTGGTCCGCTCATAGGTCCACCCATTGGACCGCCGGGACCCATCGGACCCCCAGGGCCACCCATCGGACCGCCTGGGCCCATAGGACCACCAGGACCGAACATATTTGGATTTGGTCCGCCCATACCGTGTGGAGGTCCATGTGGGTGTGCATGTGCATGTGGATGGGCATGCGGATGAGGCCCATGTGCATGTGGTGGTCCGTTCATACCTCCAGGTCCACCACCAGGTCCACTACCGCCACCTGGTCCAGGCACGCCGCCCATATGGCCTATATGCGAGCCGCCGCCGTGCGCTCCCATCATATGATGAGGTGGGTGTGGATGATTGGGACCTCCAGGGCCGCCCATGTGATGTGGCATCATTCCACCAGGCCCGTGCATATGCGAGTTCGGTACGCCGCCCATTAGATGTGGTGGTAGTGGGCCGCCGGGATGGTGGTGCGGATGATTCATTAGCTGTTGTTGCGTTGGGCCAAGATGTGGTTGTTGAGGTGGTAGCATTTGATTTGGGCCATTACCGCCGCCCATGACTCCGCACATGCCGCCAGGACCTTGGCCGGAATTAGGCCCTTGACCACCTGGCCCTTGTCCGGGCATCAAGCCTATGCTGCCCGGGCCGCCACTGTTGTGCATTTGCATTTGACCACCTGGTCCTATGCTAGTGTTGCCGCCATGTGACATAGATTGTTGTTGTTGGTGTTGTTGCTGGTGGTGGTGCTGTTGTTGTTGTTGTTGCTGCTGCTGCTGCTGCATAGGAACATTCGCATTCAACTGCTGATGCATAGGACCACCCAATCCAACGCTACCACTCGCGCTCATCGGCCCGTTGTTGTTATTACTGCTATTGCTACTACTGCCACTGCCGGGCCCCATGTTGAGGCCAGACGCGTTGCCTCCCGCACCACAACCCATTGGACTAGCACCGATATTTCCACCGCCACCTCCCATCGAAGGCGATTGTAACGGACTTGGTCCTGGCCCGGCGCCTGATCCTGCACTGTTTAGCATGCCCGGACTGCGTCCGGGGCCACCGCTGGCGCTCCCACTTAATGTGTGCAGTGGTGACATGGCCGGATTTACACCTGGCGCTGGCGAAGAAGTGGGAACGGATATAGATGACGCTGATGACGTCACTGTCGTTGCTGACGAAGATGCTGGTGGCATAGGTCCGTTGGTCAGAGACGGCGCTCCTGCTATGCGCGCCGCAGGCGAGAGATGATGGTTCTGATTGTTGCTGCTATTGTTCGTATTGCTGTTGTTATTGCTATTGCTCGAATTACTTGAAGGCCCTGTATTCGCTGGTGAGTTACCTCCTGGACCAAGTCCACCCAAAGGGCCCATCATATTACCGCTAAGCTGCTGTCCGGGTCCTGACCCTCCAGGTCCTGGCCCGGGTCCGCCTGGCATGTGACTATGATTCGCCGGACCATTTCCTAGTGGACTATGCATTGGTGGTGGGCCCATTTGACCATTGTTCATGTGCGGCGGAGGTTGAGACTGAGACTGCTGCGTTTGCTGATGATGATGTGGTGGATGTGGACCCAGTGGGCTGCCCATCGCACTGCTCATAGGCGAACCCATCGAATTCATTGGGGAACCTTGACCCGGCCCATGCGACATTCCAGGTGGTCCGCCTCCAGGCGCATTTCCCATTGGAGATCCCATTGCTCGTGGGCCATTTGGCCCAGGGCCGGGTCCTGGCCCCGGACCACCCATAGGCGATAAACCACCCATGCCCATGTGATGCGGTGATATGCTTGGACCTCCCATGCCGCCCATAGGGCTCATGCCTCCCATAGCCGCCATTGCGCCCATAGGACTGCCCATTGGTCCACCAGCTCGTCCATGATTCATGTGCGGCGGTAATCCTACTCCAGGTCCCATAGGATGTCCGGGCACGCCCATTGGACTTCCCATTCCCATTGGACTCATGCCACGCATAGGCGGAACTCCCATATGGTGTGGATGCGGCGGGCCTCCGGGATGATGTGGATGCATATGCGGATGCATGTGTGGGGGTGGGCCATGAGGACCACCCATGCCCATATGTGGACCACCCATACCGCCGGGACCGAAATGACCAGGGCCTACCATATGGTTCATGCTCGACATGCTGCTGGTCGACATGCTGGGCGGTGTGTCGTCGAATGGATTTGATGCGACGATTGTATCGCCAAAGCCACCCATTGGTGGCGGCGGTAACAAGTCTGCAGGTGTGGGCGGTGCTTGTGATTGCATGGAATTGGCAGCTGCTGAAGCCGCTGCCGCTGCTGCTGCAGCTGCCGCCACCGAATTAGCATTCGAAGTTTTCCGTCGCTTTTTCGGATTACTCGGCGCAGAGATTATATCCGTAGGTGGTGGCGGCTTGAAATCAGGTGGGCATAACCCACCTGCTGGACCCGTCAAACGATATGGAGCCATACCGAGATGGTGGGTCATATTCGTGGTGTTTTTCTTCCGAATGGTGGCGGCTTTTTTTTCTCACCGGTGAACGAAAAATATCTGGTGTCCGCGAAGTTTTATTTAACTCTGAGAAGCACGTCTGTAAGAAAGTGCTGAACGATGTGATGACCTCTATTTCAAATACTTGGTGGTTATTAATTTCTTTATTCCGTGGGCCAAATAATTTAATTTAGTATGTAGCTGATTGATCTGATCTTGAAGTATTCAGATTTATGTATAATAGCTCCGCTTTAAGTAGGTGGTGCAATGGCACATTTAGATGCACAATTGGGTGCTTAGCATGTTGTGTGTATGTTCTAAGAGAGGCGCTTTGCGTCTTTTTTATACTACAAATCAATACACTAACGTTTTCGGCAATATTGTTTTCTCCAAATTTACTTCTGGGTTGAAATGGCAATGCGTTGTTTTACTAAAGAAATCAGGGCAAGAACTGCGGAAAACATAGATCTGAAAGATAAGAAAATAACAAGGTATTAGAAAAGGAAGCTGTGGTATTGCTAGGTCGAAGTCGATTTGTGACGAGTTAATGTTTACTTATAAGAATCTTGGGAATAAATTAGTTGTAAAAGCATACAAATTTCTCATAGAGTATTTGGCGAATGATGCTGGAGCGACAGTTCTAAGTTAAATATGAATGAAATTAAATAAATAAATAAATTAGGTGTTGTTGTTGTAATAGCATACAAATTCCCCAGATTTTTGGGAGTGTTGCTGGAGTGACAGTGCTTGGCCAGAAATAAGTCTGGGTCGTTCCGGTTACGTAGACCCGACTGCCGCGGGAACAGTTGTTGTTGTAACAGCATACAAATTCTCCAAAGATAAATAAATTAGTAATGACGGCCTCTGTAGACGAGTGTTTAGATGTGCGTACTGGGACCTGGACCTGGGTTCAATCCCTGGTCCGAGCAACATCTAAATTATAAAAAGCTTTTCTAATAGTAGTCGCTACTTGGTGACAATGGCAAACCTCCGAGTATATTTCTGCCAAGAAAAATTTTCTCATAAGACACATTTGCCGTTCAGAGGCGGCGTATAGTTGTATTTCCCTCCATTTGGGGTATAAAACCAGGACGCAACACTACAAATTGGAGAAGCTCGGCCAAACAGCAAAAGTGTAAACGTCAAATATTAGTTAATTCATTCAAATGAGTAATGAAGCTATTCCATATTACTAAATTAGTACACAACATTCATGTCCTGGTTTTTCAAATAACTTTAAACTAAAAGAGCAAATTTTATTCACCTGTTCATTTCCAGCGACGTAAATTATGTTTCATCCGATTGCTGTCCACAATTTGGAATCGAAAGTAGGTTGCCTCAACTCCACTTCCAAGTATGTCCACTGCGTCACTGCTGGATACTTGTCGAGCAGCCTGCAGCCAACGGCTGCTGCTTGCAAACCAACAAAGTTTTTGATGTTCTTTCAATTAACCACTTATTGATAATATTGGAATAAAACCACATCCACCTTAAATAAAATGATCTACAGAAATTTCACTTGCTTGGGCACAAACAATTACTGCTGTTGCTGCTCTACTGCTACGACTACTTCTCCTTCTAAAAGTCTTCTTCTGTTTCCTCTTCACCTACCTTCCTTCTACTCTTCTTCAACTTTTTCACGCTACCTTTTGGCCCTCTTTGCCGTTTTCTGTCTTCAGCAGCAGCGCAAATGGTGCTGCTGCTTCTTGTTCTTCTTTTTGTTCTTTCACAACGCAGCTTCTTTGCATGGCTCACATTTTTTGCCTGCCTGCTTGCCTTTTGCTATAGCCATTGCGGCTACTGCTGCTATCATTTCACTTGCGTATCTCACTATAAAATTTTTTACAGGCGTTCGACCAAATGCAACGTGCAATCTCTTAAGAAAAGTTCTTGCATCGATCACAAATCGTTTATTAAAAATAGAGTATTTGAATTATGCGCAGAAAATTGAATTTAGGCAAAGCGTGTACAGCGCGATCTGGTGCATATCGTAATATAGTCCCCGTTGCACACTTCGTTGCGCGATCTTGCGATGACAATTTACAATGTGGAAGGCATACACAGTAGAGCTGTTGGTTCTACTAAAACCCAAAATGAGCTCGTAAGTTGGGAAAAGAAATTTAGCAGACTTTTGGTTCTGGTCGTATTGCCCGTGCCAAAAATTCCTCGCTTTCCCAAATAAAAAAGTTCACATACATACGTACGCACGCACAGAGAAAACCGCCGCTGGATAGTTGGTTATTCCGATTAGCGACGCGCTTTTGTATATTCGCCACTGTGCTAGGCAGCGGCACGTTTTCTAATCGCGTTTTTCACGCCACTTTTTCATGCAAATTTATGTAAACTTTAATAAATTGGTTATATTTTTGACAATGAATTTTCGCCTGCCACTTTCAGTAACGCCATTCAATTCATAATTTGTTTTCTTCTTATTCTTCGTTAAAGAAGCGAAACTCAACATGATTCGTTAAAATGAATTCAACACCTTCGTTAAAAGCAGA